AGAATAAAAATGTCAAAAAAAAAAAAAAAGCAGGAGGTAGTCACTCTCAGTGGCCGATGGCAGTGTCACCCGTAGGGCTGCAGAGGGCGAGGGTCCCATGCCCTGGATTCCAGACCCAGATCCTTTCCCCTCACAGCATGTCATGTTTGTCATTTTGTGTCTTATGACTCAAGTCTCCTCATTTCTAAACTGCAGGTAATAAAAACTGCCCTCCCTATTAGCAAGTTGCTGAGAGAATAAAATAAGATTAAGTATTTTACAAAGTTAAAAAGGCTTATGTTTTACTTGCTCACTGAATTCGGAAAACAAATACAGTTTCCATATTCCTTCCTTCTACACACATGCTTTTCCTCTCTGCTTTAAGACTGACACTTACTTCATCTGTACAACGTAGTAACCGTGCTGCTGTTTTGGAATGTATGCCCTTGGGTTTACAGACAATGTCCATTCTGCCAGTGACGGTACCAGTTAAGGGTGCACCCTGGACCCACACAGATAGTGGGGTGGTAGACTAGGTCTGATACGTCAGTCAGTAACTCTCTAGTACACAGGGTTTCTGCATCTGGAGCGCGACTACCTCAGTAACAAGAGCTAACGCGAATCAGGTATGATACAGGTGCCAGGTGCTTCATGTACATTATCCCACTTAAACTTCACACAGTGACGTAGGAACTATTATTAAAACCCCATTTTACAGATGAGAGAACTTAGGTATAGAGAGCCTAAGTAAATTGTCTGAAGTTAGACACTTAAAAATGGCAGGGGTGGGACTTTGCCTAGGTAGTGTTTTGGCACCAGACTCTGATGATGTCTGCCTCCCATTACTCATGACAGGTGGCTGTTGTACTGTGGGCAGGAAGGAGCACTGTTCACATGCCAGGCTCGTTCAAATGCCAGGACTCACCTTGGATGAGCCATTCACCTCCTCACCTACAAAATGAGGCGAATGGACCAAATGACTTTTGCAAAACATCTATGAAAAACATCTTATCTGGTATCCTTGTTTGTGAACCAGCCAGAGAGGAGACATAGGAAATATAGGAGTCGAAGAGCTCTTTGCGCCCCTGTTTTCTGACCTCCAGGGCCCCCCCACTCACCAGCAGGGGCTCTCGAGGCTTTGCGTTCTCACAGCTGGACCACCACTAACCTGCATGATCCTCACTAACCTGCATGATCCCCTAAGGAGCGTCCCAGTGCTGGTACCTACCAATATAAGCTGCACCGTCCGTCACCATGTACTTGTTACGGTTTAATTTAGGAAAGGTATGATTCTTTTGTTCTTTTGTAGCACAAGCGTTCTCTCTCTCTAGATCGAAAAATTTCTGTAAAACAAAACAAATAAATAAATAAAGCAAGCGAGCAAGCAAGCAGGTGAATAGAGACACTTTTAGTCTTGTTCAAGAGTACAAAGAGGTTTATTATCCATATATCAACAACAGACCTCACATTGAGTTATTAAGCCACGATCTTGTCACTTCATATAGATGAAGCTATTTTTGTTCTTAAATCTATGTAGGCAACCAACAGAGAAAATGAGCATGCTCAACTAGGTCTATAATTAACACTTTCAAGCTACAAAGTGAACAGAAAATTCATTCTTTCGATAGGGTGAGGGCCAGAAGGTTGTTTAATTCTCATTGTCTTATTCATCAGGGTGCACTGACATTTGAAGTCAGCCTCAGGGTGCCTTCTGTCAAGCATGCCAATGAACTGAATGAATATTCCTACATGTTGCATACATTATAAGCAGCAGCAGGCCCATGTCAATGACTAGCTGATTAAACTGGGGATTTGCAAAGGTCAAAAGAGACTTTGCCAAAGGAACAAACACTTCGCATCTAAACACCTAGGTCTACAGTTCTTTTAATAGGCACTCAGGAAAATCACAGCTTCAGACCACGAATCCTGAATTTCATCTTTAATGTGACCTGAAAAACAGCATTCCAGTTCACCTCTGGCAGGACATGGGGAAGCCGTGGGAGAAGGCTGACGGCAGGATGGTATGGGCTTGTGCCTTGGGAATCTGCTGAAATTGGTTAGTGCTTAGATGAGGCTTAAATTGTGACTGAGCTTATAGGATCCTATGCTGAGCTCACGGGAAGACCCTATCAAGTCTCTTCTACATTGGACAATGCCAAATGTTTTCAGAACTGCATGGACTCTTTCTGGAATGTCTTACAGCTGCGGAGGAGTCGTACGTGTTTGAAGGAAAGAGGCAGAGAGTAGAATGGAATGATACCGAGGAATGGAAAGGTCATCTGCAGTTTTTAAACTGTACATGTTCAGATTTGGTTTTGGGGGAAAAGTGAGTTCATCTTCCCCTTCCCCCGAAGGTGAGAAGGGGTAATAAACTAGGTGATCACTAGGGTCCCTTCTAGCCCTGAAAATTTTATTCTGATTTTTGTAGAACACTTGAGACCAATAGTGCACAGGCCAAAATCCACTACCCAAGAAGAACCTTCTCCCAGGTCCGCCCTGCCGTGGTTGCAGGCTATGCTGCCCGGATCCCCTTATGTCTTCTACAGAATCTGCGTCTTCTACAGATTCTGTCTTCTACAGAATCTGCGTCCTTTGGAGGGTTCACATATAGCCTTTGTGGACCCTTCGAACTGATTTAATAAACCGCGAATGCTCTTAAGTCAGAGGTGAGGTCACGTGCATGCCGAGGCTCCCCACCCCTCGGTAACCTCCAGCAGTCACCTTGCTAGGACATCCCTTCAGAACATATGTCCGCACACTGGGCTATTCTACTATCGTAGAATCAAGACAGATTTAAAAAAGAATAATAAAATATACATCCTAATTTAAGTCAGGGAGAGCATCGCAGCTTGAGGCTTTACTAACAATCCATTTGCTCTGGAGAGTGGCCCAGAAGAGGGGAAGCAGCTTTGTCTGGGAGACTCAAATGACGGTAGCAATCATTGTAGTCACTGACATACTAATTAGTTCTAACACGCTGTAGGGGACAGCAAAGACATTTCAAAAGAGAGAGTTGTCAATTTATTAAAAAATCAAACCCCAGCTGCCTGGGACAACTTCGTGAGTCACAGTGTCTTCCCATGAGTCCCCTCACGGATACGAAGCCACAAAGCTCGCTCCTCTGAGGACAGAGATGCTCTGCCTGGGTCCCAGGCCACCGCCTTCTCAGTGCTCCAAGCTCCTCGCTCACCTGTGCTCTAGTTGTCGGGGCCATTAGCTTCTTTGCCACCTGGGCTTATCTTGACATTTTGAAATTCATGGCCTGGCTTAAATGAAGATTGGAGTCTCAGTTTTATCAAAAGCCCCATGGCAAACTATCAACATTTGCTTTTTATGAGTAATGTTATTCGAAAGATTTCAAGATCAGTGTTTGAAAGATGAAGCTGAGTAAGTACTATAGAGGTTAAAATGTTGGATTTCACTTTTCTTGTCATTTCTTTCAAGTCTTACATGAGAGCACTTAACTTTTCACACCAGAGATTTCAACTGACAGTGCCTTAGTGGCAGGTGTGCTGTGGGGTCAGGGGGCGGTGGGTGGGCAGGGACTACTGAGCTGGCCTGAGAGGAAGCTGACGGAGGAGACCATGTGCCAAGTACTGCACACTCTCTTCTCTCTGCTTCTGCTTGTGCTAGCTGTGTCTTTCGATTTTCTGTATTCTGATGCTTTGACATCTGGGTCCTCACTGAGGCCAGAGGGACTGTCCCTCCCGGGTTGGCTAATCACCTGGAGACAGCAAACAACTTGGGAATACACCTTTCGTCTGCCAACCAGCCAATGCAGAGTCCAAACTCAGTCATTTCTTCTGTCAGCTCTCACACTCTGCTCTGATCACCCCAGGGCCAGGCCCCAGGCAACCAGGGACAGCCCTCAGGCTCCAGAGCCCGCCAAAATTATTCACACCAGCCAATCCTGAATTGGCTTACCCTCCCTCGCCCGTTCCTTCCCATGGAAACAGCGAAGGCTCTTGTCCGGCTTCCCCCTCACTCCCTCTGCCTCCTGGAGACCCCGGAGCTTCCCTGTGTGGCCCTTCCTGGCAGGGCAGGGCAGGGCAGGGCAGGGCAGGGCAGGCCCTCTTCTCTTGAGACCTGCGAATGTAACAAACTATCTCTTCAATGGCTGTCGACTTTTGATCTGCTGGCTTTGTCATACCTGAATAATAATGAAATCTGTATTTTAAAACACTGCTATGCCTGGTGAGTCTGACAACAGTGCTCCTGCCTGCAAGCACACTGAGCTCCGATGTGCGCGGCCTCACCTGGCAGGCTCTTCACCCCCCGGCTGCCCTTCTCCGGCCCCCCACCTCCAGAAAGTGGCGAAAATGACTCCACATCCTCCACGTCTTGCTCTGGGCTCTGCTCCCTCCGCTCGCTGGTTCACAGACCCTTTCTCATCACTCTGCCTTCGTTAGCTCCCTTCTCTGACTTCGTTCATTCATTCGTCTGCTCATTCAACACGCATTTTGAACATTTTGTGTCAGCATCCCGCTAGGCACTGGAAAGATGACGGTGAACTAGACGCCTGTTCTTTGCCTTGTTTGATTTTTCACTGGAGCCGCACGGGCTACCTTGACTAGCTGAAACATGCTGTCCTTGAGCTGAAACAATCCCCAGAACGCTTTTGTCCACAGAAAGGCACTGAACACAATCCAACTCTATTCTTCTCTGTCTCTGCCAGCTTCCTGGGGCCACTCCAGCGTTCCCTCTAATCTCCGAAACCCGATTGCCAGCAGAGGTTGGCGCCCTAATCCACTGCCTGGTTATCTCGCTCATTTGTAAATCTGGCCTGGAAAACAGATCTATAGTAATAATCATAGGCTTGTCTATATTTCCAACACCGGCATTCATTTGCGAACACGCAGACATGTGCACGGCTTCCCCAGTTTACAAAAACTAGTTAAATCGAGACAAGAATGTCTATTTTCCATCAATATTATCAGAATGTTAGGGAGATTAAGATGAAAATATATGGGAAAAAGCATTATTCTTTTGAAATTTACAGAAAATTCTAGAATTTTGTCTTTAAATTGTCGATGATTTCAACTTTTAAAAGTATTTTAATAGCATAAATGAGTTAAAAAAATATTTTAGTTGATCCTCAGGGACACAATTTAGATGCGTGACTTCTCACATCTTTGAGCAGATGTTTTGACTATGATGGTTTTGCATGTAGATAGGAGAGACGAAAAGAACATTGTCACTCCAACGATCCACATGCAGAGACCGTAGAGAATGGTGTGTAAGAGCTCGGGCTCTGGAGTTAGAAAGACTTATTTCTGAGTCTTGCTCCGCTACTAACACGTGTCCTTGAGAGAGGTTATTTAATCTAAGCTTCATTTTTCCATGTCTGTAAAAGGAAAAAGTGCCTGCTTCATATTATAGCTATGAATATTAAATAATGCATGGGAAGTATTTAACTCAGTGCCTGGCTAATTGTAGGCACTCATGAATACAACAAATTCCTCCACTCGTTTTTAAAAAAATATTATGTCCAGGCGATGTGAATGGGGTACTGCCAGAATGGCAACAGCAAAATGTTAATAAATGACGTAGCAGTGGTTTACCCAATGGGCAGGTGGCAGGGAGTAAGTGGGGGCTGCAGGCTGGAAAGATGGAGACTCCCACTATGCAGCGGCAAAATATGTGGAAAACCGCAACCTGCACTTGCTTGGAAGGCAGACGAAGCACCCCTGAACCTGTGGCTGTGGGGCCGGGGACTGGAAAACGACTCATTCGTCGTGCGTGTTGGTTGTTACTAGTGCTTTAGAAAAGCTATTAGAGGGAATAAGCTCAGCACAGGGCTTGTTGGTTTGTAAGCAGATATGAGAGAGAACAGATAGACCAGACAGTTTGGAATTGCAAAGGATTGGAAAAGCTGATTGTGCCTTGAGCTCGAGAGTAGAAAGTAAGTTTGAAAAATACTTGACTGAAAACAGTTAAGACTCAGTTCTGCAGTCAAGATCAGATAATTGATGTCATCTCACCACTCAAGTCTGATGGCCTGTACTTAGCTACCATAAAGAGAGAGAAGGAGAGAGAGACAGAGACAGAGACAGAGAGAGAGAGAGAGAGAGACAGAGAGAGAGACAGAGACAGAGAGAGAGACAGAGAGAGACAGAGAGAGAGAGAGAGAGAGAGAGAGAGACAGAGACAGAGAGAGAGAGACAGAGAGACAGAGAGACAGAGAGAGAGACAGAGACAGAGAGAGAGAGAGAGAGAGAGAGAGAGAGAGAGAGGCAGGCATAGGGAAACGGGGGAGGGAGCACAATTAAGCAAGTTCAGGAGTTGCGCACAACAAACCTCTGCTGTGACTACTCGTATGTGGAAAAGACTAGAAGCAAACAGATCAGAAGCCTCTTAAGTTTCTGAGAAAGCTGCATTGCCAAAGCTGGGACCGAAAACTCCCGTAACTGTTCACGTCTTAAAACAACCTTGGGTCCTTGAGTCGAATGAGCCGGCTTCGAGGACTTCACACCGCCCGCCGGGAAGGGTTTACAGTCGCGGTGACCAGGGACCGTGCGGGGAGTTTGTGTTCTCCTTACCCGTCCCCGTTTGAGGTTGGGGATTTATTTATTTTTATTTTTTGTGGTGTGGGGGGAAGTCGTTGTTTGCGTTTTCGTTTCTGCATCATTGAACGATGAGGTGCCGCGCGCAGACTCGCTGGGGACAAGCGCGACCCCGGGAAGCCGCAGCCTCAGCTGCGCGGTGACCGTGGCGCTGAGGGGTCTCCACGTGGGAAGAGTAAAGTGGACACGGGGGATTTCGGCCTGTGAGGACTCCCAGAGCCGCTCCTTCGTCTCCCTGGGAACGCCGCTACCTCCGGGCCACACTCACAGGCTCCCTTGCGATTTCTGGGAGTGGGACGAAGTTTAAAGTCACGTTCACCGCCTCACCCAGAGATGCCGCCCACGCAGGCCTCCAGTCTCTCTCGTGTTTGGCCTTGTGACACTGAGGCTCAGGGCAATCTGGGAAGTCATGTGTTCAAGCTGATGGCGGAGCCCTTGCCACCCTCGGTCCCTGAGTGTGCGGAGCACAGCCCCACCACCCGGAAGGGGGTCTGGCACAGAGCAGGGTCTCAGTGCACTTTGCTGAACGGCTGCAGGGGAGGATGGGCAAAGCCGAGATGAGAGGATCAGTGGGCAGTGGTCAGGTCCAGCATGGAGGAGAGTGCTCAGCCGGGGGGACAGCACATACACAGGCCCTGGGGACCAGAGGAGGGTCCGAGGTGAGCTAGAGACTTAGCACATTTAGAGGACAAAAGTTTTCGATCTTGCCCCCTCGAGGAATGGAATGGAGAGTTGGATGAGCATGTGGCCCAAGGGGCCTGAAGCAAGCTCAGGAACCAGGCTAGGGGGGCTTTAAGGCTGGGGGAGTCTGTGCTGGCACCTGTTCCAATGCTCCAAAGAAGAAAGGGAGGTGAAGGAGGCAGTTATAACAAGACGGAGAGATGGAACAGAAAGTGTGTGTAAAGGCGGCTGGACTCTGAGGGCACCGGGGAACTTGGGTTCCAGTCTCCTTTTTTTCTTTTTTTTTTTTGGTGTGTAAGTGTTTTGAAAAACGACTTAAGCTACTTTTGAAGTGTTTTTCACTATCAAAGATTGTTATCCTGGTTCTCGTTGGAAGTTTATGTGCTTGTGTCTGCTTACAGCTTTCACAGACGTGCAAAGGGAACAAATGTTTTCTTTCATAATAAAGTCAATATAATACTTACAACTTTCAAACTGCAGTTGGCTATTTCAGTGCAAATAGCTTTAAGAGAGGAAATAAAGTTAAATGTAAGGGGATCAGTCTCCTTCCAAAAGCTTATAAGGAGTCGAACTTTAACGCTTCGCAAAACTAATGCTTCTCTTATTTTCCCATCCAGGTCTGGCCAGTAGGTCCTGCAGAAATAATATCCACATGGATAAAAATAAAGTAAGTTAGTTTTTGAAAAACAATTCACTAGACCTCAGAGAACATTGATATTAATGTGAGCATTACTTTACTCTGTAATAGATGAATAACTTTGCAGGCTACACCAAAAAAGTGTGGGCCTCCTGCGTTCAGGCACTGAGAGACGATGCTCTGTGAAGGCCTGTCCCTGCCCTTGTGGGTGAGGTCTCTCGCCACCAGGCTTCAGGCTGCGTGGGCAGAGGGTGCAGACAGACTGACCACTGCCCCTGCCGCCTTCACTGCCCCTCCGACCCTACCTGTGCTCCAAGAATCAACTTTCCATCGTATTTCCAGTTAGGAGCCTCGAGCATCCCTTCTGTCCCCAAATACTGCTCAAACTTCTCTTCTTTGGTAGCTGCCTCCAAATAAGCTACTCAGGTTACTCAAGCTTTCCCACACTCTCATTTCGGCCCATCT